TGAATTCATTACTTCATACTCATATAATCGTGATCAAGACCGAAGTATAATGTACATTTTCCATATGAATAAATACTTAATACAACATTAACTATGAATAGAAAGCTCATCTAACGGAATGGAAAGGACGCGCACAAATACTGCCGAACGTTTCGACAAAAGTCTTCAACAACTCTAATACAAACTTTAACTAACCGTTGAGCATTTCTGTAACAGTCTATGTTATATTCAGACAGTTGAGCTTTCTAATCACAGTTTATGTTATATTCAGTATTTATTGACAGCAGTCACTCCTTTATTGTCCAAATGGTACCAGACTTATGGCAAGGATCATAATCTTCTCGTGTTTTTGTTTTTCGACTTTTTGTTTCAACTCAAGTCGACTTTCTCAATCTTTGATTTACGTGCTCAGAATGAAAATGATCATATTAAAAATTAACTTTCAAGTTGTCCTTTTTTCTTCTTCACAGTACGTGTGTTAACAGATAATGACTGATCGTAAATACCATCAACAGGTGCCTTGCAGACTGGCGTGGACGATCATGCCAAAAAAAAAAAACACACATATCTTTTCGTGTGCTGACACATTTTCAATCCCACGACAAAAAGCTGTTAACAATCTTTCGTCTTCCATTATCCCTCTTTGCTACAAATATTTTTTTGGGGTACTTATTCTGGATAATCATAATTTTGCAGCCATGAGATATTAACAATTTTTTTTTTCTTTCTGGTAGGAACAATGAGTTTCTTATTAAAACACTTGTTGTATCAATTCAGTATATGCTGTTGACATCTTCCGATTCACTCACTGGAATTTGTTTCCTACTCTTCACCTTCGCAATGTCGCTGAAATTGCTGGAAATGTAATTCTCGTTATCGTCGTATTTGTCATTCACAAAACCATCGCTGTCTGCGTCAGAATTATCATTCTCTTCATTGTCCACATCAACTGGTTTATTCGTAGATACATTGCTGGACTTTCGCTCATGATCTTTGTTTAATTTTATTGATTTTTTAAGACTCTTAAACACGCCGAGCACTTTGGCTTTCTTCTCTTTGTTGGGCGAATGTTCTGAAGTAGCTTTGGCTTTAAGGCTGTTGTCTGTGGAATTTGCGATTGTACTGTTGGCATTGAAATAGTCTACGTCACTCATGCTATCACTATACCCTCTTCGTCTTCTAGGATTGTATACAACATTCTTATTATCATAGACAGTTTCGTTATCGTCTGACTCGTAGGCCTTGTTGTACCGAGCACTGGAATATGGCGACGATGTACCAATTGTAAACATAATTTTCCCTCCTTCTGGTTCAATGTTACTCTCATTTTCGTTGTCGTCTTGCTCTGCAGACGACCCAGATATATTGCTTAATGAGTCGTCTTCTACTTCCTGTTTTGTATTGTCTTTTGCACTAAGGTTATCTTTATTAAGCGTTGCACTCAAACGTCGAAGAATGTTCATGTAATCCATTATCCGCTTGGCTTCTTCTTCATCAATTTCGTCATTATCATCATCATCACCCTTATCATCATCTTCGCGAAGTTCAAATACGTTGTCATTTTCGTCTTTTAAGTCGACATTATAAAATTCATTTTCTGCTTCATGTTCATGTTCTAATTCATCCTCCTCATAAGCGATCTCGCGAATGACGTCCAGATTTGGCGGGTTAATGTCTGAAACGTGTCTTCTCTTTGGAAGGGCAGCTGCTTGCATTAGATTCCGTGTCCTTGCAGACACGGTGTTCGTGCGACCATGGCGTATCTTGACAAGTTTAGCATCAACCTTTAAAGCTGCTAAATGAAGATTGCCATCTGAAAGAGATCGCGGTAGCCCTGGCTTGTGTGTTGCTGGACGAGGCATAATACTGTCTGTGAAATCGCCTGATCCTTGTATAGTGCGGTACCAGTTCGTAACGATGCTCTTGGACAGATGCTCCTGGCTCATGACCTTTCCGACTTCCAGGGTCAAGCCTTCTTCGTCCCTCCTCCAGCCTTGTTGTGCTTCCTTGATTATATCAGTGAGCTCGACCCGGTCAAAAGACAGTCGATCCTGTGAATATACGAGATAAATATTTTTTTTTTTTAATGAGAGCATAATGTCTGTATAGATTTCTGTAGAACGATTTAGATATACAGATGAGAACATATTTTCAGAATGGAACATGGCGATGGCTGAATTGCTAGATGGTCAGATACTATAGTCCGTTCAGAAATTAACGAAACTGACAAAATTTTAATATTAGCCAATAGTTAAAACATGTTTCTTATCTATTATGCTGTACATTCTAAAAATGTATTACGTTATTTATTGTTCACATGTTAGGATAAAATGTATGGTGTCTAACATAAAGATGGAATCACAGACACATACATGTTGCGTATCCTTTACAGGACGTTGCAGAACCAACCCCAACAGTCGCTGGCTGTTGTGTGGTTTTTCTAGGCAAATTTACGTCCAGTAGTTTGCCATTGCATGCAACTACTTGGTAAAATATTCCTTATTTAGTTTATGTTACACTGCAACGTATGATAGTGAGTGTGGCTATTCTTGAGACTCATAATCAAGGTTCTACTGTATTGACGGATTGAGGGGAGGAGAGGGGGGGGGGGTGTGGAAGTAGAGCCAATGTTTTGTTTGGAAAAAGGGCGGGAGCGGGACCTCAAGGTATCAGGGCGCCCATGTTCAAGCATCACTGTCTGTGGGCATTTCATGATGTATACCTTACGTGTTTGTATTTTGTTTAAACTATTTTTTCCTACTTATCGATCAGGGTCTGCTTTTTATTTTGTTTTGCGTTGTTTTTCTATAAAGCATATGCTCCCAACCAACTGATACAAATATCTTTGGAGACTTGTTCAAGACTGATGAGTACTAACAACTCTACATGATGAAGTATCTACAGCACGTCAATTCTCTTGTGATGCCTCTTACGACATATACAGTTGTTTATAGTTGTAATGCGGCGTCCGTGGCTTACACGTTGCGAGTCCGACTCGTAATTTGAACGTACTAGGACATGCAACTAATATTTTTTGAGAACCAATCTGGGAAAAGTATCACACACACACACACACACACACACACACACACACACACACACAGAGAGACAGAGAGAGAGACAGAGAGAGAGACAGAGAGAGAGAGAGGGAGAGGGAGAGAGAGACAGAGAGAGAGACAGAGAGAGAGAGAGAGAGATATATAGACAGAGAGAGAGAGAGAGAGAGAGAGAGAGAGAGAGAGAGAGAGAGAGAGAGAAACGGATAAAAAATCTCGAGTAGCTAGATCATCGAACCAATGTTTTATCCCATATGATCTGATCATTCTCCATTAGTCACATAAAGGCGCAAACTCCGTAACTTAAGCGACTATCCCAAAGACCACAGGATTTCTAGAAAAGCTGCCCGGGTGAGCCGAAAGATGCAGCCCGTGAAATAAATTAGTGACCTTTAGAGAGCAAGACAAGCGGCATAACTGCTTAGTCACTAGGACTTCTCAACATTAAGTTGGTGGGTTCTTTATTAATATCCTTCCCCAGATGACGTCACAGGACAGTCCAACATTTTAGATGATGGTAAGACTGGGTATCCTGGCTTTCTGATGCTTGTAACGACCCCAAAACATCAAGAACTGCCCCTAACCCCAACCCACCTAAGTCCCACAAGAGAGGCCTCCCAGAAAGTGCAGCCTAGGTCCCATGAATGCATGCAGCCTAGGTCTCACGACTACATGCAGCCTATCTAGCACCCCCTGAAATATTAGACTGTCCCGTGACCTGTGGATTTCCCCGGTTTCGGGTAGGATTTAAATTAAGCACCAGTTGGTGTTGTTAATCTTGTGGATGATGACAATGATGATAATTTGGAAACGACGACGACGATTTTGTTGATGATGAAGACAAGAGGAAATAATCTGGTAAACAACCAATACCTGAACGGAGTGGAATGAGGACACGCTCTCTCGCTTTGAAGTTACGGAATTGGCCCTGCGTGCTGGCCTCATTTCCACCTGAGACTCCACTGATGCCAGTGATGACTTCCTTGGCTGTTCTAGTTCTCGCTTCTCTTTCACCTGAAATGTCATGACAGTGGACGGTTCATCTGTCGGTTCGAAAACATAATATATTGGTTATCAGATACCTTATTCCCCGTGAAGGTTTCGGGAGCTCCGTTCTGGAGAATAAACAATAGACCTAATGGCAGTCTAACAAACATGTCGTAGGAGGCTACTAACTGGGAATGTTTCCTTCACTTAGAGTGCAACTAACTGAAAGGCAAGGAATCAACAGCTTGAATACCAATAAGTCGAATGTTTAAAACAGATGTGCACGCAAGTTTCGGGCCTTAGATAATATCCACGTTTGGCACTGGTGGCTAAATATTGATATGCATATGCTGTTTATATTTTTTTTTTTACTTATAGATATGTTTGGATGGCATAATACTGATGACAGGTGATATGTAAGTGCACTGGCTTTCTGACATATGGTTTCTATTTCCATGTTAATTCTCAATATTTGATTATTATACTTCCAAGGTATTTAAATTCCCTAACCATTCATCTCTATATGAAGTGGACGAGGGGTTAAACTAATTTGTACTGTTTCAGTTCTTTTTGCAAAGACCTTAATATTAGGTACTGAAAGAGTTAAAACAATGACTAGTTCTCAGAAGCCTTCAGATACTTTTAAAAAGAACCCTTCTCCACACCTTCATGCGTATTGGGCACATAAGGCTAGACCTATATTTTATAGACAAATCAGCACTTGGTGGTCAACATCACGCCTCACGCCTTTACTTCCCAGGACCGCACCTGGTACCTAATAAAGGTTCGGTCGACCTGGGAACCGAGGTCAATTTTAAAGAAAGCCGGTTTCAGTCAACACTCGAACCCACGACCTTTCGACCCCCAGGCGAGCATCTAGCCGTTACACCCCCCCCCCTCCCCCCCATATACGTAACATCATAATAATGAAAAGTGAAGCTCTTTCGTGCAGATTACCCTGGTCTTGAACTCGACGATGACGTAGAGGAGCAAGCCGAAACTAGCAAACGCCAGACACACAATCAACTTGGTGGAGACACACATGTAGCTGGCGTTCAGGAAGCTGATTGTGTAACCCAAGCTCCTGCAGGCATGGAAATTAGCAAAGGCAGGTTCCTTTTGGTCTGGGAATAGCATTGCGATCAGAGCTGCAAGAGTAGAAGTGTTTAAAAAGATTAGATAGTATGTACACTTTAAACATTTTATGCAGTAAATCCATGTTTTTGGAGGCTAGGAAAAGAATTATCTCATGCTATATAGAGCCAGTTTTAACAAACGGCTGTGAAGCCTGGACAATTATTAAACAAGCCTTCCCGTGTGGGTTCCGGGGCCCTATTATAGAAAAAACAAGAATAGATCCGCTACCTACCCAGAAGCATGTTGTAAGAGTCGACTAAATGGGAGCTTCCTTCGAAGTCGGAGTGCATCTGCCTGAAAGGCAAGGAACCAGCAGTCTGCATACAAATGAGTCAGATCTCTAAAACAGACACAAACGCAACACTCAGGTTCTGGAACAGGACTGCAGTAAAGAAGTTGAAGAACCAGAACTTTCCGCCAGAGTTTACAGCTGGTGAACGCGAAGAAGAAGAAGAATAAACAAGCCGAACAGTATCTTGAAGCCGTGACGATGTGGTTTTACAGAATAATTCTTAGAATCCCTGGGACAGCTAAGAAAAACAACCCAGGTGTTTTGAAAGAGGCGAATGCTCGAAGACAACTTATCACAAACATCAGAAAGAGACTGTCGTCATTCATGGTCATGTTAGGAGAAGAGGGAAAATAGAACATGTTGTGACCATTGGAAAGATCTGTGGAAAGAGAGACCGAGAAAGACAGCAGGAGAAGATTCTTGACAGTCTTCTGTCACGGCATGGAGGGGTGTCAACACACGAATTAATACACGCAGTTTCAAATCGTAAATTGTGGAAGGGCTGATCGCCCACGCCAATCGACAAGGCACTTGAAAATAAGAACGATGACGATGATGAACATTTCGAAAACATTAAGACTAAACAAATAAAAATAAAAAATAAAAACTAACCCTGCCATATTTGCATTCTGTAGGATTAACATCTCAAGGATGAGAATCAAACTGGTACCAACCTGGGAAACCCCATTCAACCGTATAGCCATATGCCACAGTTATACTGGGACACCACAAGATGGTTACGAATTAAAGTGGAGTCCAATGTGGGTGGTTTATATGATTAGGATATATATATATATATATATGTGTGTGTGTGTGTGTGTGTGTGTGTGTGTATATATATATATAATCAATCATATATATTATATATATGATTGATTAGCACCTTTCGTCTTTCTATACGATAGTGTTATATTAGGCTATGAGAAGGCATGGGACTCACAGCTTATGGTGATGGCGAGTGTGACTAGCAAGACGCGCCTGCATTAAAACAAAAAAGTCTCTCACAATTATATAAATAATATAATTCTTGAAAATCACCTTATTTTCACTTTGGACACTTTAACACCTAGATGACTCAACTGCCAACACAGTTTCATCTAAAATCCTAGGGATTGAACTGCCCAGACTGTTTTATCTGAAACGTTTTAGTTACGGCCACTTGAATTCCCCTGGGGTATTTATTCTCCTCTTCCACGTGTCTAGTCAGTCTAATAAAAGACATCGACCTAGCTGTTTCCACATACTACGCTAAGTGATTTGTGTGTATGTGTGTGTGTGTTTTTGTGTTATTTTTTAAATTGGTGCCCTGATGAACGCCCTATAGTTCACTTTTTGTTTGTGTTCGTTGTATTGGTAAGCTTGCTGATATACTTTTCGTTCGGTTTTATCTATTTTCCACAACTAAAGCATGGGATTTCAGGATCGCTGGTGTCAACATTTGTGTTAAGTGTGTTTCTTCTCAGACGCTCAGTTCTCCCCCTTTTATACAATCATTTCTTCCTTCAGTCCCTTCCTGATGTGCCTCTTCCACACAACACGGTCTATGTCATTGTGTTCCCACGGGTCCATCTCAATGCCTGTATCATTCATGTCTTCCTTGCACACATCATTGTATCGTAGTACATCTACTACCCTTCTTTAATGCACATAGAGCAGCGGCTCTCAACCTGTAGGTCGTGACCCTTTTTGGGGGATCGAACGACCCATTCACAGGGGTCACCAAAGGCCATCTCAAAACATATATTCATTTAAGTTATGAAGTAGCAACGAATATAACTGTATGGCTAGGGGGAGGGGTGGGGGTAGCTACAACCCCAAGAACTGTGTTAACGGGTCGCGGCATTAGGAAGGCTGAGAGCCACTGCCATAGAAGATTTGCTTAAGGACTCTGCCATCCTAAATTCTCCAGGTCTCATCCATCTCTCTCTCTATATATATATATATATATATATATATATATATATATACACACACAAAGGAATCTTGCACAAATGGTGGTATGTCTCCCAAGAATCTGCACCAGCTACTAGTGACACCCAAAATTGCGAGTTCATTTTGTGCAAGATTCCCTTGTTACGCTTCTTATGTTTCTGTCATGTTTTAATTTTTCTTCTGTAAAACTACACCTGTGAAACCTGCTGTCCACGATTCCCCTGACTCTCTTCTGTATATAAGAACATAAAACTTTAAAAAAAAAAAACTATTTTACCCTCAAAGATTTCATTCACTACAAGACGATGAAAGCCATGGGAAGTCGAGGCGGCCAGCATGATGCTGACCCCTTCACCCACTAAGTGCTGATTGGTCTATAAATTATAGGTCTAGCCCTATATGCCTGACACACCTAAAAGCGTGGAGAGTTGTCCTTTTTCCCCACTTCTTTTTTTTTTTTTTTCAACAAAACAATGAAACCACAATGTTAACTCATCACTTACAGTTGGCCTGGGCTAAAAGTACGCTCTCTGACACTCCCCACACCATAGGCAACAGGAAGATGAACAGTTCGTCATCAGCTGTCGGCGACCACAGGAACAAGATAATAAACAACACGATCTGTACAACCATAGAGAGTGTCAGGAGCAGGAAGCGACCGGCAACTTTAGCCAAACGGCTGACGATGAATACAAATACTGGAGTTGTTGCCCCGTAGGAAGCCATCACGTAGCCTACCATGTGGATGCCGAGTGGGCAGGCGACGTAAGACTGGGAACAATGATTTAAACATTAATTAAGTCTTGATATGGAAAGTTCAATAGCGTTAAAATATACAACATTAGTGACTAGTCGTTTAATACTTTTTTCTTCTTTAGCATTCGGAGCCCTTGAGGTTCATTGCTGCAGATATCACCCGCCTCTAATCATCTCTCTGATTGGCCTTCTCTTTCCAGTTGGTGACATTAAGTGTTTGCAAGTCTGTCTGGATATTATCTTTCCATCGTCTTCTTGGTCTGTCTCGTGGTCTACGACCATTTATCTCCGTCGAGTATACAGTTTTTACTTCTCTGTCATCTGACATTCTTTCAATATGCCCCAACCATTTCAGTCTATTAGCTCTCATGATGCCAGTGATCAGTGGTAATTTAAACTGATTACGAATTTCGTTGTTGCTTCTCACTCTCCATTCACCACTTTTTGCATCTTTGATGGGTCCAAAGATTCGTCGCAAGACACTGTTTTTGAAAACCTGTAATAAGGCTTCATCTCTTTTAGTTGTGCTCCAAGTTTTAGAGCCATATACAACGACTGGTCTTATCAACGTTTTATTAGTTTGATCTTGGTGTTTAAAACATTAGTTATATTAATGATTTAACCCCATGAGAGGTTTAGAGCCCCATTGGAGGGGGGGGGGGGGGTCTGCGGGGATCAAAAATAGACCCACTGCATACCAAAAAGCATGTCGTAAGAGTCGACTAACTGGGAGCTTCCTTCGAAGTCGGAGTCCATCTACATGAAAGGCGAAGAACCAACAGTCTGCATACAAATTAGTCAGATTTATAAAACGAATATCTAAGCCACATTCAGGTTCTGGAACCGGACTAGAGTCCAGAACTGGCGAACAGCCAGAACTTTACTATGGAGTTAGAGTTTACGCTAGTTATTGTTGATTTAAATAAACTTCTTCGTCTTCTGCGTTCACCTTTTGCGGGGCGGGTACACTTTCTGTTGTGGATTATATAGGATGTTTGTTTAATGAATGTAGGCTTTTAGAAATCCATTATTGGTGCACCATAATTTAATGTGTGTATTGCGTCATGTTTCAAGCGCCATGTAACTGTTAATTTAGATTATCACTACTGTGTGCTGGTTATTTAGTAATTGATCTTAGCTATAATGATGTTAACTATCGAAGAAAGAATATTTTTGGTTCAGCATGTGTTAACAGTGGCAGGTATTCGAATGTGACTGTTCAACAATGTATGATGACATTTCCTTATACTAAAATGCCTCATCCTAATACTGTTAGCAGTTTAACCAGTAGAATCGATTGTAAATAGAGCTGTAATATGGAGAGAAAAAAACAGTACCCAAAATAAGACACACTATAGCAGTATATCCAGTGATAATAAATAACCAAACTCTTGAAAATGTAGAACATTTCACATATCTTGGCAGTGTGGTGTCCCTGCCGGGAGGGACCAAAGAGGACATACGGTCACGTCTGAACAAAGCTAGAGCTGCTTTTGGAAGGATGAGGCAAATCTGGAAATCCAACAATTAATGCAGAGGAACAAAACTCCGACTCTACAAGAGCATCATTTTACCAGTTCTTCTTTATGGAGCGGAATGCTGGAGAATGACCAACAGTGATGCACACAAGCTGTCCAACTTTTACCACACATGTCTACGTAGAATTATCAAAATTTTATGGCCAGATACAATCTCAAACACTAAACTACTTTAAGTCACAAACCAAGAAACTTTAGACAGTATGATAACCAAGAGAAGATGGAAATAGCTTGGCCACGTTATGAGAATGAATCCTGATATACCCGCCAAAACAGCTCTCACATGGACACCAGAGGGGGAAAAGAAAACAGGGGCGCCCAAAAACAACATGGAGACGAACAATGGAAAGTGACCCGAGTGCGGCATCTTTGACATGGAAAACTGCACTGAAGATTGCACAGAACAGGAAAGCATGGAAAGTCTTCTCTGAAGCCTTATGTGCCACTAGGCATAACGAGAACTGATGATGATAGCAGTATATCTTGAATTAACTCCACACATGGTGATATCAAAAATAGCCAGGAAATATTAAAAAAAAAAAAAATTATTTTCATTAAAAATATACCCTGTAACAATAAACACACCTAGCTACCTAGCAACATAAATAACTACATAGGACCGAATGTTAGACAGACCGGCGTGCCCACCTTTTAACCGTTTTGGAAAACAAAGTATGTCCATTCATTGGTTTATTCATAGCCATCTGTGTTATATGCTGGACTAACGAGACCTACCTTGGTATACGACGACAGCAAGAAGCCTTGTTCTATAGACGTAAACAAGATAAAAGGGGCCAGCAAAATCATGTTGGTGGAGACGAGCACGCTGAAGCAGGAAGTAGCCGACTTGTGCACGCTGACGCGCTGAATCCACTCGCTGCGAGGTAGTGGAGACAACAAGAAGACAACCATGAAGAGACCCAGCAGTGTACAGGACATGAAAATGCCCAGAATGATGTCAATGACCCAGCCCTCAGGGTCTTCAATCTGAAAACAAACACAAACAAAAGCCTTTTAATTTTTTTTTTCAAATATCCAGAAACCATGAGTTGTTAACCCTTTGGCTCGGTACTATGGATATCGCAACCCTTCGGCCTTGATTCCATGATAGATACCGTAAATCTGGGAGAAAATGTGGCTTTTCTGCCAACTACGCTGGAGAGCCGGGTAAAGCCTTTTAATAAACTGGGTTGTCGGTATTTCTAGTCTTCAGATCATTTGATGAATTAAAATGTAAAATCCATAGGATGGATTTCAGTATATTGGGTTTTGTTCCATATAGGTGGGTCTCTTTCAGAAGACTACCTACCCTTTCAGAGCCTCGTACAAAGCACGAACTCCGAAATTCTAGCGACGATCAGAAAGGATCTACGTAAAAACTGCAGCCGTGAACTGAATGACGCGTCTGTGAAACCAACATATGATCTTCAGAGCGCAAGACAAAGTTTTGATCACTTCGCCATATTGTTAATCAGTGTATGGTATTATGTTAATTACAGCACCCACTGAATATCAGTTGAAATATGGATCCAACATCCTTTATCCCATTCACCAATGGTTTCAAAAGAGTTCTTTTGTGTTTTTATTAACTTTTTGAGGTTTCAATTTAGGTAGCGCTCTTACAGTTTTATTGAGGATCACACACACACACACACACACACACACACACACACACACATATATATATATATATATATATAAACACACACACAAATTCCCACACAAATGGAGAGCAAGACAGAGCTAGAGAGGGGAGAGAGAGACAGTACACTTGCGGATGTGTCATGAGTGCAGTAACCTCATTTAAAGTTAATTCGTCTTCTTCTACAACGACGCGGGCACCCACACAAGAGTGCCGGGGGAGGGGGGGGGGTGTCATTTATGCAAAAACCAACATGCCATCCTAATGACTCTTTAGATATACATCAGATGCCAGCATTTTGATATTAGCCTGAAGAGAACCGTCGCGACGGCTGAAGACTGTTGTGAGCAAAAGCTTTGAAGCAAGTTGCAGAAACACTTATTCCTGTGAAGTAATGGGATTGGGTGAGATGAAATCCTGACAAAACTGTTGTTCAATGTAAAATGTAGTCTGAATCAACTCAGAGCCACATATGTAAACGTCTTCGATGTCTTCAGCGTTTCGAGCATTTGAGGTTCATTGCTGTAGATATCTGCCAATGCTATCATTGCCTGTGTTTTACATCTTTCGTCGTGTGGGTTCCGGGGCCCTGTTATAGGGAAAACAAGAATAGAGCTACTGCCTACCCAAAAGCTTACTCCGTAAGTCGGAGTCGGAGTGCATCTGCCAGAGAGGCAGGAAGTCAACAGTCTGCATACAAATTAGTCAGATCTGTCAAACTGATGCACACGCAACACTCATGTTCTGGAACAGGACTGTAGTCCAGAAGTGGGTGAACAGTCAGAACTCTCCGCGAAGAAGAACACGATTTTACCACTTTTACGATTTTACCACTTTTGCGATGCAAGCCGCGGGAGGGGGAGGAAAAGGGGGGGGGGGGGGGGTCTTTGAGCCTGAGGATTTAGAGCAGTTTTGTTAGTGCTGTCGTCACGACTGTGCAGGTAAGGATTTTATTTGGCCACCGACTGAAAAAATACATCCGCAACCTAACGGTGGATTTTATGGATTCGAACCCGTGCCTCCCGCGTGAGAGCCCAGTGTTCTTAATAGCTCGGCCAGCTGCTCATTCAGCTGTGGTTTTCACCCGCATACAAATATACTTTAGCACATTGTAGCCGATGCGCTAAAACTTGATAAAGGGATCTGACCTTATTTTGGTACAGCAGATAAAATAAAAAAACATTTTCAGACAATCTTCCTACTTGATAACATTGACAAAATACTACTCTGGCCAAAAAAGAGAGGGATAGTGTAGTAGCTAGACTCTAATCTCCTGGTCCGAAAGTCTTGGGTTCCAATAAGCATCGAGGCAGATTTTTGTGTTTGAATAGACCTTCTCTCCCAGGTCGACTCGGCCATACATAGGTGCCAGGAAATGTCATCGGAAGCAAAGGCTGAGATTGATGTTGACCACATCACCCACCTAGTGCTGCCTTGTATATACAAATGCGTGTCTGTATAAATGTGGCACTATGGGATACAGAGCATAAGCGCGTCAACCTTACAGGAACTCACGCGGATCTACTGTCCGGGATATGCAGGAGTGCGAGGAAATGAAGGACCTGATTTTCTGGTTACAAAAGCGATAACTACAGGAATAACCCTACTGGACAAATGACACATTATGAAGACCATTTATGAAGATACGAGGTTAGATGAAACAACACGCGTACGAATATATGAAGGAGGAATTAGGTGTGTATTAAGCAAGAGGGGATGTAAGAGAGGAAGAGAACGACGAGTTTATAATCAGTGTGCTATACAGGAACAATTACTCTCTACATATTAGCAAATTTTCTGCAGGAGACTGATCACCTGTTGTTATGCCAGGTGTGCTATGATGTGGAATCCTTAATCAGTCAGTCAGTAAAATATGAATCCCTCATCATATGTCAGAAGCTCGTCTGACATGACAAAGGATTCTTTACCTTACTTATGTTGGCAGCGTGGAAAATGGTGCTTATTATCAGCTTTTATAATATATCAGGCGATTATTTTTTAGAATGCGAACAGGATGCGACGGAATGCAAAATCGTCGGTTATCACTAAATCAGCCACCAAAACAGCTTATCTGCTTAGATACAAAACATACACTCGTGTGCACCTGTTTCCTAGACACTGTTTTAAACATTGGTTTAAACTTATTTGTTAAGGGGGGAAAATAAATCACTCGTTCACTTGTATAGTTAGTTATTGATACAGTACGTGTTTGGCAATGTAAATCACAATTTCTCTATTATTCCCCCCTTATTATACAGTGTAATACCAATCTGACAAGACCACAAACACTGAAATAGATAACAGGTGAAAGCCCGTTTTAGGCCAAAGACTTATCGTAGTTATTTGGTATACTTTTTGCACTCTTATATCCACCCCTACCCCCCCCCCCACCCCCACATACACACACACAAACACCCCTCGCCCCCATCCTATTTTTTTTTTTTTTTTGCAATGCTTTACAGTCGTGACAACAAAATTATGCGTTTATTCTTTTACCTATGAATTCTTTTATCTATGAATTTTTTTTCCCTCCTTCTTCTTGTCCTCCTCCTCCCCTCATTCTTCTTCTTCTACCTCATATTCATCTTCGGCGGTCCGTCTAAAAGGGCAGTTGGCACTGTGTGTTGTTGGGTTTAAGGTAGGCTGTGATATTTGCGCCTTCCTTTCAGACATCCAAACAGGATTTCCGAAGTTGGTTAATTAGTCATCTTTTACGAATGTTTGTTTAATCGCAACCAGTCTATTCCTTTATTTTTCTTGGTTAAAAGAAAGGGACACAGGAACCCACACAGGGAACCAGTAAATATCGAAATATCGTTGGAAATGCTCGCCCTGTTATTACATGTTACTTGCAAATTATAACTGAAAGGAAAACTAATGCGCTTCAATAAATACTTTATGCTTCGGACGAGAGACCTTACTGTCGACAGGAATAACGCAATTACGTGTAGAATACACCACACATAATAATAATCATGATAATAATAGAAGGAGGAGGAATAATAATAAGAAAATAAAAAGCAGAGAAAGAAGAAACATTGAAGGGGGAGGAGCAGAAAGGAGGAGGAGGAGGAGGAGAAGAAGAAGAAGAAGAAGAAGAAGAAGAAGAAGAAGAAGAAGAAGAAGAAGAAGAAGAAGAAGAAGAAGAAGAAGAAGAGAAGAAGAAGAAGAAGAAGAAGAACAAGAAGAAGAACAAGAACAAGAAGAACAAGAAGAAGAAGAACAAGAAGAAGAAGAAGAAAAACAAGAAGAAGAAGAAAAAAGACAGAAATAACAGAAGAACGTAGAGAACAACAGAAACAACAGCAACAACAGCAAGGAAAGAAGAAGGATGATCAGAAGGGAGGAGAAAGATTTATCTATCCTAACTTACCGCTGTAGCATTCTCACTGGACGGACAATCGTCAGTTCCACAATATTTGAAGCCATCACTGTAAGTTACATTACCAACTCCGTCTTTGATGACCGTGCTGGTCACGAGGTTTCCCAAGATCTGTGACGTGGCGAACACAGCAAAGAAGAATCCGTTGAACCTGCTCAGAATTGAGTAAGGCGAGGCTGACGACGATTTGGAGAATGAGAAAGCACTTGCGGATACGTACAGAGCCTGGATGGAAGAAAGAAACAAGTCCGAGTTTCATGATCAGTTGCTTACGGGTCTATCTTTAACAAGGCGAAGCTTGTATATCTGCCGAGTGGCTATGCCTTTGAAACCCAATAGTTATTCTTTTGCTTTTGCCCTTAAAAGGGCTGTTGGCTTTTTGTATTGTGGTTTACAGCTTGGCTGCGAAATCTACGCTTTTAGACCCACGCATCCTATTTTAAGAAAAAGAACTTTAAATGTTGAAATATGGAACATAAACAGTTGAAGTAGCCGTGCTGTAGAAAGAAGGAACATGACGGAAGAACTAAACAGAAGATATTAGCCAATGTAAATATATCCAAAGAACACCAACCAAGACCATCTCCACCTGACGGGCCATGCTGCTGACGACACCAAAACGGGCTAACGATACGTTAGGGACAGTTTAAACGCCCAAATTGAATGTGATTATATCTGCTGGAAGCAATGCTTTCTATAAGTACATACTAGTTAAAGAATGCTAATTTTCATTGAGCGATCTTTAGTAGTTTTTGAAATATCTTGGTAAATGTTGAGTACAAATTTGGCTATTTTCCGCATAAAATATGACATTTTGCGCAAATCTCCCCAAATAGAGTAGACCCTTTTCATTTACAAGTTTGCTGGGCTGGTCGACTTTCATGAAGGTTACAGGTGCGTCCCTCTCTATTGTTTGCTTTATGTTTTGTCTTGCATTTACGTTTTCATTCCGAGAAAGAGAATACATGTGACATAAGTTGCAGCACTCTCTATGGTGGTTGTATTAGGGCCAGTTGCTACATGTTTTTGGAGCGTTAAAAGCACTGGTGTACTGAAATACACAACACGCCATATCAACGGTATCACAGAACACCCATTTGTCCCTGTGCGTAGGACACGAGACTCAGGAACTACCAATCAGAAGTGACCTAGTGTGTATCTGGGCGGGGCGAGTGAGATTAACGTTAAGTGTTCCGACATTTGTAATCAATTTCCGTGAAAATGTGTTGATTTTAGCCACCAAAATAAATTTTCCTTTAATCTTCAACTAGTACGTACCTATAGAAAGTATTGTTTCCAGCAGCTATTATTAAATTCAACTTAGGGTTTTAACCTGTCCTTAATGTATAGTTAGCCCGGTTTGGTGACGTCAGCAACATGGCCGTCAGATGGAGACAGTCTTGTATCAACAAACGCATGGGGAGTTGCTTAGTCCTGAAAGCGTGCAGCCGACTTAAGCATACCCCAATTCCTCACCTGCGAGGTCCAGGCCGGTCCATTAAAGGCTCCAAGAGCAAAGGCTGCCGGCGCCATGGTGGCGAACGACGGGTAGAAATTCGCCAAAACATACAAGCAGTGGGCGGCAAAGAAGGCGACGATGGCTGGCTTGGTTCCAATGAGGCCGATGATGGTAGGCGCAAAGACACTGGACACGATAGCTGTGGCAGAGATGATGGCCAGGGAGATGTTTCCTAGACTTTCTTCGTCGTGAAGCGAGCTGTGCATGTTCTGTGGTATAAAATAACAGTCAGTGAGGTGTGGTTCTACAACAGTCAGTCGTGAATATACTGTACGGTAGTCAGTGAGGTGTGGTTCTATAACAGTCAGTCATGAATATACTGTACGGTAGTCAGTGAGGAACTTGAGACTTCATAACATCACGGCATATGAAGCGACTGAGCGCGCCCTGGCTCGGTTGCCGGTCATCTGATTTGCCGATCATCTGATAGACTGCGACGCCTAGCGGCACAAGCAGATTTTGACCCCAAAAAAAAAAAAAAAAAGTCAGTGAGGTGTGGTTCTTTAACAGTCAGTCGTGAATATACTGTACGATAGTCAGTGAGGTGTGGTTCTATAACAGTCAGTCGTGAATATAATGTACGACAGTCACTAAGGTGTGGTTCTATAATAGTCAGTCGTGAATATACTGTACGATAGTCAGTGAGGTGTGGTTCTATAACAGTCAGTCGTGAATATAATGTACGACAGTCACTAAGGTGTGGTTCTATAGCAGTCAGTCATGAATATACTGTACGGTAGTCAGTGAGGTGTGGTTCTATAACAGTCAGTCATGAATATACTGTACGGTAGTCAGTGAGGTGTGGTTCTATAACAGTCAGTCGTGAATATACTGTACGATAGTAAGTGAGGTGTGGTTCTGTAATAGTCAGTCGGGAATATACTGTACGATAGTAAGTGAGGTGTGGTTCTATAATAGTCAGTCATGAATATACTGTACGATAGTCAGTGAGGTGTGGTTCTATAACAGTCAGTCGTGAATATAATGTACGACAGTCACTAAGGTGTGGTTCTATACCAGTCAGTCATGAATATACTGTACGGTAGTCAGTGAGGTGTGGTTCTATACCAGTCAGTCATGAATATACTGTACGGTAGTCAGTGAGGTGTGGTTCTATACCAGTCAGTCATGAATATACTGTACGGTAGTCAGTGAGGTGTGGTTCTATAACAGTCAGTGAGATGTGGTTCTATACCAGTCAGTCGTGAATATACTGTAGCATAGTCACTGAGGTGAGCAATATAATACAGTCAGTGAGACGTGTTTATATAAGTCAGTCATAAAGGTACTGTAAAATAGTCAGTGAGGTGAGCAATACAATAATGCCGGTGAGATTCTTTTAAAAACAGTCAGTCGTGAATGTACTGTAAAATAGTCAGTGAGGTCAACAATATAATGCAGTTATGTGTGTTTTTATTACAGTCAGTCATGAATGTACTGTAAAATAGTCAAAGAGCTGAGTATAAAGCATATTCAGTAAGATGTGTTTATATAAGACTAAGTCATGAATGTACTGTAAAATATTCAGTGAGGTGAGCAATGTAACACAGTCAATGAAGTGTGTAGTATAACACAGTCAGTGAGGTTTGTTTAATATAACACAGCCAATGAGGTGAGTCTAATACAACACAGTCAGTGAGGTGTTTATTATAACACAGTCAGCGAGCTGTGTAATATTACAGTCAGCGAGGTGTTTAACACAACACAGTCAGCGAGGTGTTTAATATAACACAGTCAGCTAGTTGTGTAATGTAACACATTCAGCGAGGTGTTTAACATAACACAGTCAGCGAGGTGTGTAATATAATACTATCAGTGAGGTGTTTAAGGTAATACAGTAGGTGAGTTGTGTAATATAACACAGTCAAAGAGATGTGTAATATAACACAGTCAGTTGTTAAAAAGATCCTCTACTATCTGAACGAACGCGGAGACGGGTCAGCTAAGACAACCTCTCCAGGCTCAGAACGCAGGATTGAGATTTCCATAATGCTAAGCTTAAAGCCATGTCCTTATCTTCATAGAACTGCAGGTTAAACCTGACTGATGCAGCCATTATGGATGCCCAAATTATTACTTCTAAGTAATTAACTAATTATAAGAGCTATAAAAAGAGAAAAGGGTCCTGTTTTGGACACATTCTGATAAGAAATGAACAGAGAATCGACAACTACTTGCATTCATCCATTTAGGAAAGCAACACAAAATTACAAAAACAAAAATCGACCACGTTCTACCTACTGCAGTATTGGTTGTACTTTTAGTTTAGTTTCTCTGTGCCAATTATGTTGGCTAAGAAATTTAAGTTGCACCAAAACTAATGGTTTGGACCAGTACTCCACACACACAGACATACAGACACACACACACACACACATACACACACACACACACACATGTATAAATGGTGGATAGAGGGCTGGAGGAACGAGAACGTCTAAGAAAAACCCTAAGGCTAACTAACGTTATTGAGAACGGGTTCCAAATAGGATATCGAAGTGATTGTACAGGATAAAAAGAAATGGAGAAATAGACTGCGGGCCCTATGGGACATAGAATAACAATAGGACAATGACATAAAAAGTTTTTCGGAGGTTGAACAGCGTGTCTGGTATCTGCCTTGATGGTCTGCTGTCCAGACTTAGATTTTTTTTTTAAATCTGAGGATCCCGAAGTTAAGACCATTAATACAAAACTTGGACATGAAGCACGTTCAAACTCATAGTCTTCAGATCGGCAGCCAAGGGTTTACGCGCTAATGCGGCTCCTTTTAACGTCAACTGATGAGTGAAGTTAAACCCTTCTAGGACTGTATACTGAGCTGCTAACACCCAGTGGCTCAGTGAGCCATTTTACGGATGAGAATACCGCAGGTACAAATCCCAGACGCTCTATTCAACCGTATGACTCAGTTATAATGGGGCACCCTACGGTGACGAAGTAACCTTTAGTCCGATTGTGCTGTTCCGAGGTTCATCATCATCATCATCATCATCATCATCATCATCATCATCATCATCATCATCATCATCATCATCATCATCATATGCCACTTCTGACGTTAAGCCCCCGTGAGGAGGAGCAAATTCCGGTCCAGTACATACTGGCTTCCATTGGCTATTGTCATGCTGTGAAGGCGTGGGGTTGTCTTAAATATCTGATAGTATCATTATTTACTCGATCTCGGAGGGTTAGGTTGGCGGCTTTTCTCAGGCATCTCATCTTGCAAGTGGTAAAATTGCGTACACAGGATTTAGAAAGTGTCCATGTTAGGCACTAATAGCTTAATATTGGAATGAATATGCTGTTCTAATATGTCTCTTTGTTCTCCATAACTTCCCCGTGAGGGTTCTGGACTCATGTGTGAGGGGGCAAGGATAAACCCACTGCCGCCCCACAAGCATGTACAAGGCGACTAATCATGGTGTTTCCTTCAAAATCGGAGAGCATCTTCATGAGAGACGAGAAACCAACAATATACATATAGATAAGCCAGATATGTAAAACGGATGTGCATACATAACTCAAATAGCGAAAGAAGACAAACGTCCAGAAGTGTACGAACAACCAGAACTTTCAAGTGGAATTTCAGGTGATGAACGTTGTAAAGACGAAGAAGAAATGCCATATCTCAAATGGCATCTTATGAGGAACTTGGACATGTAATGACTACCCACCTGTAAAGCGTTGAATGCCGTGAACACCACTCACCTGTAAAGCGTTGAATGCCGTGAACACCACCTGGAAGGCAAAGGTGATGACTATAGTGTTTCTGACCTCCTTTCCCTCCATACTGTGTTCCTCCTGGCATTTGTACCTGAGCCCCACAAGCTCACAACACTTCATGATGCAAGAGGATGGATAACCAAACAGTTACAAAACTGGACCACTGTCTTCCCTGTGTACTTCTCTAGTGAGGAATCCTTTTATAATGGCTCATATCTGGCATCCAGTTACCAACCTGCAGAAAAGTAAAACACGTAAAAGGGAAATATTTACAATAATGTACCATAAAGGCTAATAACACGGTTCGCTTTTTTTTTTTTTTTTTCATCATTGAGACAAAGTTGAGTTTAGCGAAGTCAAGAATTGACATCACAGCACTCGGGGCATTCCCATTCTACCAGCGCAGTTCCAATGCTGATGGTGGCGGTCATAATCTGGTTATATGTCTGTCTTGCCTTTCCTCTGAGTGTAGTGGGCCGGCCAGACCCTTTGGTTACACCCAGGTGCCTCATTCTCTCTAGGCCATAATAATCTTGTTTCTCTACTAATTCCGTTGCTTGTTCCTAAAGGGTCATGACCACATCTGCATTGTCATGTATCAAGTCACCACTCAGTAGTACAAATCCAGCCAATCTGTCTGCCTGTTTATTACCTACTACGCCGGCATAGCCTAAAGAAAAGATCCAAAGTATGCTCACTACCCGTGACCTTGCCAGTGAAGCTTGCCACTCTGCTCCAAGCCTTAAGACAAACTGAGAATATGGCGCTTGTCTTTAAAATAAAATGTTGGTAGATTAGTGGAAGAATTGTTTGGAAGCTGCAGAGGTGTGGTTGTTTTATAGACGAACGATGAGAATACCCTGGGCAGATAGAATGAGTAATGAAGACATATTAAAAAAAAAACCTGACTGACGAAGAGAACTGATTGCCAACATCGGAAAGAGACAGTGTACATTCTTTGGTCATGCGATGAAAAGGAGAAAATTGGGGTACATCGTGACGGAAGCAAAGTTGGATGGAAGGATAGGCAGAGGGGGGCCGAGAAAACAGGTGCTAGACAGTCTGACATAATAGCATGAAGGATCATCTGTGTCAGAATTGACTTAATGTCTAGCAGACAGAAGGCTGTGCATAGACATGACTACGAACGCCACATGGCATGGATGTTAATAAGATGTTAAAAGTTGGCATACCCGTTTGGTTTCGATGCGTTGGGGGAAGGGGCGTCAAGGTAGACTCACTAAACCTTAACAAGCATGTCGTAAAAGATAACTTATAGATAGTGTGCCTAATCGGATGTGTTGGACCGAACTGTGTGCAGATATCGCGGCCTAGAGGCAAATCATAACATAACTGCTATCCATAATTACAAGGGCGATCGCAAAAACAGAAACAGAAAATCACAGTTGGGCCCAAGTGCTAGGTTCCGTCTCCCTTTGGAAATCTCTGTTATTCTTGTTGCTGGTTTCAAAGAGTACATTACAGAAAGCAGCTACTAATAACCAAATATGGAATTCGGTCGACACTGATGGAGCGGTTTAACGATCTTAAGCTGGGGACCTTGACCTCTTTCCTCAGTTGCGAAACCAAATACAAGATAAAATGAAAAACCTCCTTCTTAGGTCATCACGTTTGCATCGGGGTAATAATAAAAACCTTACTGTTAGTTGCGTATCCTATACGGACGTTGCAGAACCAACTCCAGAATGTTATGCCTGTTGTGGTTTTCCTAGGCCACTTTTGCGTTCAGTAGTTTGCCATTGCTACTGAATGGTCAGCTCTTGGTACCAGTGTCGAAACCAACGCAAGACAAATCGTTCGCAGCAGGGATAGAACCCGGCACCCCGGCATTACGAAGCGCCACTTAAGACCATGGGAGTTGTGAGTTGGAGAAGGGAGAGAGACACTTAAAAGTACAGTTATCTTTTTTAAAACTCCTCTTCCAGATATAAGATCATGCATATTAGCAATAAATAGGAAAAGACAGACAGGCTGGAATAGTTTACAAAAACAAAAAACAAAAATGTTTGCACCTACTGCTGGCTTTGTGACTATTAAGTGGTTAGACCCCTAGCTTTTCGTACTTTGTGCGACTCTCGTACACCTGTCAAAGACGATTTTGTGTGTGTATATATTAGCTGCGGGAATTCAACCCTAGTAGAGAATCCTACAATTATTAAACTCATTACATAACCTCTAACCTGCAACCGTTGAGTGGGATGATTCTTAAAACGCAAGTAAACCGTTGTGGTTGATGGGGTCAGTAGTAGACGACCACCTTGAATTCCAGTGGGATTTCTGGTTCCTATTGGGGGCTTACGACACACTGAAAGATGCATTCGCTATAAAAGCACACAAAAATCGGTAACTGGCTAGGCAGAGAGAGAGAGAGAGAGAGAGAGAGAGAGAGAGAGAGAGAGAGAGAGAGAGAGAGAGAGAGAGAGCCTTTAAGGTGTGTCGTAAAGAGAAATGCTTAATGTAAAGGATCTGCTGATTCTTATCTTCTTCTTCTTCTTCTTCTTCTTCTTCTTCTTCTTCTTCTTCTTCTTCTTCTTCTTCTTCTTCTTCTTCTTCTTCTTCTTCTTCTTCTTCTTCTTCTTCTTCTTCTTCTTCTTCTTCTTCTCTTCTTCTTCTCTTCTTCTTCTTCTTCTTCTTCTTCTTCTTCTTTCTTCTTCTTCTTCTTCTTCTTCTTCTTCTTCTTCTTCTTCTTCTTCTTCTTCTTCTTCTTCTTCTTCTTCTTCTTCTTCTTCTTCTTCTTCTTCTTCTTCTTCTTCTTCTTCTTCTTCTTCTTCTTCTTCTCCTCATCCTCCTCCTCTTCTTCTTCTTCTACTTCTTCTTTTTCTTCTTCTTCTTCTTCTTCTTCTTCTTCTTCTTCTTCTTCTTCTTCTTCTTCTTCTTCTTCTTCTTCTTCTTCTTCTTCTTCTTCTTCTTCTTCTTCTTCTTCTTCTTCTTCTTCTTCTTCTTCTTCTTCTTCTTCTTTTTCTTCTTCTTCTTCTTCTTCTTCTTCTTCTTCTTCTTCTCCTCATCCTCCTCCTCCTCTTCTTCTTCTTCTTCTTCTTCTTCTTCTTCTTCTTCTTCTTCTTCTTCTTCTTCTTCTTCTTCTTCTTCTTCTTCTTCTTCTTCTTCTTCTTCTTTTCTTCTTCTTCTTCTTCTTCTTCTTCTTCTTCTTCTTCTTTTTCTTCTTCTTCTTCTTCTTCTTCTTCTTCTTCTTCTTCTTCTTCTTCTTCTTCTTCTTCTTCTTCTTCTTCTTCTTCTTCTTCTTCTTCTTCTTCTTCTTCTTCTTCTTCTTCTTCTTCTTCTTCTTCTTCTTCTTCTTTTTCTTCTTCGCGGTTGCGTTCAGACGCTGTAAAACTCTGACGGAAAGTTCTGGGTGTTCATCCGAAAGTTCTGGGTGTTCATCCGAAAGTTCTGCGTGTTTATCCGAAAGTTCTGCGTGTTTATCCGAAAGTTCTGGGTGTTCATCCGAAAGTTCTTGCTGTCAAATCAAAGTTCTGGGTGTTCATTCACTTCCGCACCTTAGTCTTGTTCCAGAATCTGAGTGTTACGTGTACATAATGAAGGCAGATGTATTCCTATTTCGAAGGAAACCGCGAATTAGTCGACATCTGCGACATGCTTATTGAGGTGTCTTTTTCTTCCCCCCCCCCCCCCGCCTCTCCCCCAACCCCCTTTCCATAATGGGTCCCCTAAACGCACAAGGAAAAGACGCGCTGATTGATGATGATGAATATAGGCTAGGTCGACGAGGTAGCCCAGGTCAGTTTAAAAACTGTTTCCTCTAATAATGTTTCGTATAACGGCCAGCTGCCCGGCTGGGGGAAAAACACTAGCCACTGTCCTAGCTTGCTTCGAACCGCATCTGCTTGAGCGGCGAGGAACTAGCAAGTAGAAAGACAGATCTGTTGAAGACATGTACATGCAAAACTTAAAATCCAGGAGTGAACGAACAACCAGAAATTGTCAACTGACGCTTACCACCGATGAAGTTAAAAAAAAAAAAAATAATATTTAAAAACAAAACGAAGACAAAGACTTTTCTAACAGAGGTTCCTTTAGTGCTTCCCCCCCCCCCTTTTCCAACCCCCCCCCCCCCCCATTTATCTGTAAAATTGTAGGTACTTGCTTGTAGGTGGCAAGTGACCACTATCTTGCCCGTCTGAGCATTAGTTTCCATGACATATGTACCATATACTGTCTTTAGTTTCGTAAAAAAGTTCTTGGTGCTCTGCCTCCAAACTAGCCATGAGATCAATGTCGCATCAATATAACAACACCTTGTGGGAGAAAAAATAAATTTTCTTGGCATCTTGAAAAAAGGTAACCTGCCATTCTTAGTTATTCTGGCTGTCCTAAATATTCACAAATGTTCATCTCAGAAACCACAACTCAGCTGCCCCTAAGCTCTTCCCAGCTCTTTCGTTGACAATTCAAGATTCACTGCTCTACAAGAGAACAGATTCGACATAACGTTTCGGCACTCTTTCCCTGACAGGTTGCACTCTACGTTATCTATAAATGTGCTTCCCTATATATGCGGGCTATCGAACATGTTTCATGTCGAAACTGACGTGCTTGTTCAAGTGTGTCAAGCGATAAGAATATGTTGATAATTTCGGGGATTTTTAACATGTTGGATTTCATAGATTGTTTAAATTTGGAAACTTATATTAGCTTGTAACGAAGATCTAATTTCTTACATAAGAAGCCACTGATACGAATTATAAGCGACTGAGTCGCCCATTGGCTGGCCGGTAGGCGACTTCGTCGCCTGTCGAGACAGTATTTTTGTTTGTCTTTTTTGATCGCACCAACACTGCAGTAGTCTTCTTCTTCTTCTTCTTCTTCTTCTTCTTCTTCTTCTTCTTCTTCTTCTTCTTCTTCTTCTTCTTCTTCTTCTTCTTCTTCTTCTTCTTCTTCTTCTTCTTCTTCTTCTTATTCTTCTTGATATTCTTCTTCTTCTTCTCTCTTCTTCTTCTTCTCTTCTTCTCTCTTCTCTTCTTCTTCTTCTTCTTCTTCTTCTTCTTCTTCCTCTTCCTCTTCTTCTTCTTCTTCTTCTTCTTCTTCATCTTCTTCTCCTATCTCTCCTTTCTTCTTCTTGCTTCTTCTTCTTCTTCTACTCT